AAATGTTAGTAAATTCAATAGAATCACTCCTTGCTGACTGTTTTTTCAGACCTTCCTAGCAGTGGGATTTGGAGGACCAGTGTTAAGTGCTAGAGAAGTAAGGAGGACAGAGAAGTGAGGAAAACTGAGGTCTTAGGGCTCCTCAGTGAGGACACATTCCTTCTGTGTGATTTATATACATATATATATTATATCTTTATGGACTGCATTAGCAGCTGCTATGAATTCCTATACAAGATGTATACTCTTCCCCTGTGACGTTGTCAGGTGTTTGATGATGGCTATATCCCTTGAGGGCAGCATTAAAAACAAAAAATGGTTAGAACTCTGTTTCCAGATATTGCTGTGTTACAGTGTGTATACCTCGGCTGTGTGAATGAATCAGGACTTGATCTCTAGATCAAGAGGATCAGAAATTTTTCTGTCCATATGGAGGAATGCTCTAAAGCTGGTCGGATTGTGGCTTCCTGTTACCATGGTGACCAGGAACTGGTCTGGGTCACCACGGTAGAATTTCTTCATGAGGAGTTTAAATGAAACTGTTAAGGACAGGAGAGATTTTACATGTCATCAATGGTTCTGCCTCAGTTAAAACTGTAACCAAAGTTTCACTTTTTTCAGGGACTGTCTTCAAGTATTTATTTCTTATTTTAGACTGACTGCTTTCTTTATTTGATCAGAGGCCTAATGTTGACAAGTTGATCAAATCAACTGCCGATTTGTCGTCATTAGTCATCATTCTCATATCAGTCCTCGAGTCATGAAATGAGTAACTACTCCTTACACTAATGTTAAGAAAGTTGTTTGGTGCTATTTTGTTGAAACCATATTTTTTTGTATATTTGCTTTTTGCACTCTGAGATATACCTAGGTCTTTATGATAGTACTAGGTTCTGAGCAGGAGTGCAATTTCCTTTATAAATGTAAGACCAGTTTGACTACAATTAAGAAATAAATTTGCTGGGTATGGCGAGACTTTTGAAACATGAATTAAAGTGTTTTAAGACCACTCTGTTCATCTGATCAGTTCAAAATAAAATCTACAATTTTAACATGCTAAAGACATTTTCATGGTGAAGTGATGTTACAAAGTCCAATTATTAAGTTGTATAGATCCTCAGTCATGTTAGATAACTCATGATCCTTAGTAAGTGATAAGTGGAATGTACAGATATAACCAGTAGAGATTCTGATACTCTGTAATTTGTCTGCATTAGGCCTCTGTCAGGTTTATCCACAATACTTTATTATATGTCAGTGTTCCTTCTGACATATTGTCAAGCAAAAAAAAAGTCGTTATCAATATTTTGTTTTTCTTTGTGGAGAGTTATGACCATATCTAATGATAGTGTGAACGTGTTGTGAGTATTTTAACGATAGACTTGTGAGAGATGTCGAGCTGGAGTTATTGTTATTTTATGATAGTTTGTTTATTTTCATGTTTATTGAAGGTACATATTATATTAATGTATTTCATGTGAATGTGTGAATGGGAATTGTTACACAAGAGGATGGGTTTGTTTTTGTCAAGAAAGAATTGCAGTGTCTAAATCATGGAGGATTTTTTTTAAAGATTTCAAATTGTCACAAATATTTGTAAGCCAAAAAATTCAGAAGTCCATTCAAGTGTTTGAAAAAAAGCAACAAATATATGTTTTATGAAAGCTGCAAAACAAATGTCACTCAGACTAGATAAACTCCCTGTCATAGGTTACCTCCCTTCCTGTTAGCTATCTTTCCTGTCATAAGTTATCTCTCTTGGCAGTCTCTTTCTGTCATGAGTTATCTATCTTGGCAGTCTCTTCTTGAAGAATATTTAGTACCAATAAGTTGATTTTTTTTTCTCTCTGGATTTTGATAATGGATGGTGCTTCAGTGACCACTGTGAGACTTTTTTTTTATGTAGTCCCTGATTTCACTTGTATTCTGTATAATATCATTTTAATTACCCTATATTATATCGGTACTATTGTGTAAATGGGGTTGGTAATAGAAATATACGTACTACATTGTCCTTATCTATTTTGATCAGTGTATAACAAATAATCTAGGCTGTGAACCATAACTTGTATCTGCCACACAAAATTTTACATTTTTTGTTTAATTTAGCAGAAAAGTTTTAAGAAATCAGAATTATATTTCATGTTATTTCGCCAAACATAATTTAATTCTTTGAAAATTTATGCTGTTAGTTAAAAAAAAAATCTCTTTGAATATGACTCCATATTTTTCAATGTGATATAATGTTCTATCTGAGGAGGGGTGTTTTACAAAAATCCATCATGTGTAAGCCTCTAGTTGTGTAAGCCTCTAGTTGTGCTATTCGGATAAATGGTTTACAGTGATGTATAACTGCTGGACAGTCATTTGTAAACAGAAACAATAACCCCTCACTATCGGCCATGTTAAATGCAGAGCTGCAGTGGATGCTGACTAAGATTTCAGTTATATAGTTTACATTTTCTTGTATCTTCCTACATCTCTTGAAACAATGGTGATGCTACCTTACTCAATCTGTGTTTCCTTTTTTTTCCATTACAGTCTTACTTTATTAGTTAATTTGTTTCTGTTATTGTTGGCTTGAATGATTGGCAGCGATTGAATGGTTGTATTTCAGTATAGGTTTGATGTATATCTAGAGTGACGTGTATTAAAATCATGTAGCAGAAGATGACAAAGTATATATATATATATTTATAATCTATAACACATGTAAATAGATTAGTTTTAACACTTTTTCACACCCTTTGTTGATTTCTCAGAGGGATGGTGTTATCAATAGAACATCCATTTTGAATTTTTCCCAGAATTGACTTTTCAGGAAGTCAAGAGTTTCTTGTGTATTTTTTTCAAACTGAGATTAGAACTTACAGAAAAATCCCCAATAGATTTCAATAGTTTACTCTTATTTTATACCTCTTACAAAGTCTTTTTTTTTTAAAGATTTTTTTTCGAATTGATAAAAAAATAACATTCCAAACTTTGAAATGTAGATATATATGAGATCATTGATGTTACTATATTGTTATTTATAGGAATGAGTGAAGTAACTAAAATGGGAAAAAAGGCAACGTTGTTTATAATTCTTGTGATGTTGATAGCCCGGAGAATAATTTAAGATATTCCTTGTGAAACCCCTTAATTTTATGTTGGATGTTAAATATTGGTAGGATTGATATTTTTTTTTCTCAAAGCTTTGAAAATCAAAATTAATGTCTTACCAGTTTATATTTTGTTGACGTTAACCATATCTGACGGAATTTGTGTAAAATGCCTTGATTCTCTCTGTTGCTGATGTTACACTTTATAGAGTTGTCGTTCTTTACTCTTGAAAGAACGACAACTCGTGAGAGACATATTAACAACATTGTTACACTGGGTTCTTTTGTGAATTAGTTGTAAGTTAAGAAAAATGAAGACAAAAATGGGGAAATTATAGAGAACATTTGTGATGTTTATAAACTTAACTAGAAATGTGTGGAAAAAAAAGTTATACAAGTTCAATGTACACATGAAAAGAGAGACTCTATAAACATATACTCGTCTGTTCATAAGAATACGTGCTTTCTAATTTTCATGTACTAATGATTATACACAAATAAATTCCAGAATAATGTTAGCTGTTGTTATTTTTAGTTACTATCGCTTCTAGTTGATTGACTTCTTTTTCATTGACGTCATCAGTCGAGAGGATGGCCACGGTAGACAACAAACGAATGTGGTTATCTTATAAATTGGTTTTTACATTAAGAACTTTGTCAGGTAGAATATGCTAGTGTTCGCAGTTGTCATGCACAATTTTAGATTTGAAAAAAAAATTCTAAATTTGCTTGAGTGCATTAAGTATATTTGATATTACCTGGTTCGCTGTAAGCAAATGCATGAATAACATCTTATGACATGGATCCAGAATTTCATTCCTGGGAGGGCTTCATATCCACTCAACTGACTCAGATTTTTTTTTGAGAAGGAAAAGAAACTCGATCCGCAAACTTGAACGAACGCGAAAAACCTATTTCTTGGGGGAGGGGGTTGGGCAGTTATTATTGGGCAAAGCCGTCTAACCTTTATACACTTGTCTCTTCCAGGTCTGTGTTTTGGGGGGACGAGTGGTATTTTTTACCTTTAGATTTGATAACTGAAAATCACGGGGGGGGGGGGGGATGGATCCTCCTGATGACCCTGTCTATATCTGCGTACAATATTGTTTATTGTAAAAACATCCTCTCTCTCTCATATAGAAAGAATATAACGGTGGGTGCAAATATAGAGAGTAAAGCCTGGTCATATTTCTCAAAGTTATCCTAGCTAGTTTAATTAACTCAAAAGATTTTTTTAAAAGAAATGTTACGCATCATTTTTCACATAAAAAAAATCTATAGTGTTGTTGCAAGAGGTCAGTGTTGAACACGGATGTATTTTTAAGAACATTCAAACCATTTTCCGTATATCAATAAAACTGGAACTTGAATGTTTGAATTTCTAAGTCGATTTGGAGTGTCTCCAATAGATAAAGTGCCGTGAGGTTTAAATTTTGGGCGTTTTCTGACGAATTTTGCTCTATATAATCGATCCATGTTGAGACTCTTCTGAACACTTGTTCAGGTAAATCTTTACGACAGATAGTACACTGAAAAATGGACAACGGGAGATTTACCGAATAAGACTTCTCCATAGTAGAAAGTGCAAATGTTATTAAGATTTTAATCTACATGTATACAGATGCATGGTGTTTCGGTAGCACACAGGCGGGGTGGGGGTTCAATATGTCTTAAATTCTGAGAACATAAAGAGTTTTATTATTATTATTTTTTTTTTATAAACAACTAGTTCGTGTGGAGCCCTTCCCCCACCCCACCCCCTCTTTTGCGAGGTTGGTCCCGTCCATTGATCGCTAACTGTGACGGGGTTACCCAAAGAGTGCTTGAACTTTCGCAGAACTGCATATCACGATTCAACACAGAAATTTTAAAATTCATAGCATGCATGAGTCATCATGTTTTCTTTTTGTGTAGTGATTGTCACTTTAAGACGTTGTGCGGCTTGAAGTATTTATATCCCATTTACGACGAGCCGTGAACCGTTTTCTGGGGTAGCCTTCTCTCCCGGGAATTCCTGACCAACAAGGAAGTCCTCTAGGTGGCGGGTACGTCGCCCTTAATTGACCGGATCGATACATACAGAGCAAGTTGGCAATTATTCAACGCTGTCAGATTGTTCCGGACGGCATAAATTTCCTTCCTGGGACCTGACAAGGACCTAGGGTCAGTCTCTGGGGTCAAGGAGAATTTGGACCAGCTTACGTCACGAAGATTTATGCTTAGAAACGATGTCAAAGGTAGGTAATAATAATTTTCTCCCGTAGCCTAGCTCAGTCTGAATATAGATTTATATTACCTGTGTAGGTAAATACTTGTTTACGTACATACAGACACTGATAGCGAAGTCTAGGTGGATCCAACAGGTTTTGCACTCAAGAGATATCAATACACATGTATTATGCCGTTCTGTGAATGGACAATTTCTTGTAATGTGATGTTGTAAAGAATATTTACGAATCCTAGCTGACGCAAATACATAAATAGGATCGAGTGACGTTCCATTTAATATGTATGAGATTGCTATAAAACGAAAGTTTTCCAATGAAGGGTATTTTAGTACACTGGTGCAAGAGAGAGAGAGAGAGCGTCCTTTCATCTTAAGATTGCAGTTGATTAGGTATTACTATAGATTTATTATGGTCAATATATGGTCAAAGTAAGATTTCTTCAATAAGTCTAGCTTGTAGTTCATGTATTTCATATATATTTTCATTTATTTTGCTGTGGTAATTAAATCTGCTAGGGCAATAAAGTATTTGTTGCTCACAAAAGAAGAGGAAAGAATAAACTATTTTTTTTTCATTAAAACAAAATATAAAAACAGAAGAGGAGGATGAATTAGACCCCCCCCCCCCTCCAACACAACACAACACATAACTCAAATATTCATCATATCGATCATAAGCTATGAGAGACTAAATGACAACTAATTAAGTATTTATTACCTGGATATGATTGTTTAATTTGATAATTCTGTAGGACTGCACTCACAAGCTGCCTCAGGTATCACTGTGTATCTATTTCACGGGAATACCCTGTTTACGGCAGTGTGGTAGTAATGAGACGCTTAGAAATGTGGAAATGACAGAAGGATTGGAGTAAATGCACTCCTTCGTTTAATTATAGATTTCCAACGTCAGTAGTTTTAATTTTTAGACGAAAGACAAATTACAGAAAATCCGGTCTTGTTGTTAGTCACGGAGTGTATAATTCACTCTTTATAAAATATCCGCAGTTGTACTTTACTTTCCACAAAAAGGATTTCCTCTCTACGTAATGAACTGTAACACTTTTGTTATTTGAATTCCGGGGGCGGATCCAACGATAGACATCTTCGGAGCGAGTGAAATACGGTGGCGGATCCAGTGATAGACTGCGTCTTATGTCCTTGTGTGAAATTACAAATAGACAGCATTTACTTTGTAAATTTTTTTTTTTTTTGTGATTTAAAATTTTAATTGATAATCAACTTGTAATTTTGCCTGAGGTCCGACCCCCCTTCCCCCCACTCCTTTCTGCGTTCTTGTAAATAGATAAAATCAGTAAAAACAAACAAACAAACAAAAACAGAATTGTCACTTGTAACAAACACGTATTTTCTCGATTTATTTCATTTTTAGCTCACCTCGACGAAGTCGAGATGAGCTTATGCTATACCCCCGGTGTCGGCGTCGGCGTCGGTGTCGGCGTCGGCGTTAGCGTCGGCGTCCCAGGTTAAAGTTTTAGGAGCAAGTCCCATTCCCAAGTAACTATAAGCCCTACCTGGACCAAACTTGCATGGATGATGCATCTAGGGATGGACACTACCACACTTGCTTCGGATGCTGGATCTGACCTAGATTTTCCAGATGAGTGACCAGGTTAAAGTTTTAGGAGCAGGTCCATTCCCAAGTAACTATAAGCCCTACCTGGACCAAACTTGCATGGATGATGCATCTAGGGATGGACACTACCACACTTGCTTCGGATGCTGGATCTGACCTAGATTTTCCAGATGAGTGACCAGGTTAAAGTTTTAGGAGCAGGTCCATTCCCAAGAAACTATAAGCCCTACCTGGACCAAACTTTCATGGATGATGCATCTAGGGATGGACACTACCACACTTGCTTCGGATGCTGGATCTGACCTAGATTTTCCAGATGAGTGACCAGGATAAAGTTTTAGGAGCAGGTCCATTCCCAAGTAACTATAAGCCCTACCTGGACCAAACTTGCATGGATGATGCATCTAGGGATGGACACTACCACACTTGCTTCGGATACTGGATCTGATGTAGATTTTCCAGATGAGTGATCAGGTTAAACTTTTAGAAGCAGGTCCATTCCCAAGTAACTATAAGCCCTACCTGGACCAAACTTTCATGGATGATGCATCTAGGGATGGACATGGCCACACTTACTTCGGATGCTGGATCTGATGTAGATTTTTAGATGTGTACCAGGTTAAGGTTTTAGGAGCAGGTCCATTCCCAAGTAACTATAAGCCCTACCCGGACCAAACTTGCGTGGATGATGCATCTAGGGATGGACACTACCACACTTGCTTCGGATGCTGGATCTGACCTAGATTTTCCGGATGAGTGACCAGGTTAAAGTTTTAGGAGCAGGTCCATTCCAAAGTAACTATAAGTCCTACCTGGACCAAACTTGCATGGATGATGCATCTAGGGATGGACATGGCCACACTTACTTCGGATGCTGGATCTGATGTAGATTTTTAGATGTGTACCAGGTTAAAGTTTTAGGAGCAGGTCCATTCCCAAGTAACTATAAGCCCTACCCGGACCAAACTTGCATGGATGATGCATCTAGGGATGGACACTACCACACTTGCTTCGGATGCTGGATCTGACCTAGATTTTCCGGATGAGTGACCAAGTTAAAGTTTTAGGAGCAGGTCCATTCCCAAGTAACTATAAGCCCTACCTTGACCAAACTTGCATGGATGATGCATCTAGGGATGGACATGGCCACACTTACTTCGGATGCTGGATCTGATGTAGATTTTTAGATGTGTACCAGGTTAAGGTTTTAGGAGCAGGTCCATTCCCAAGTAATTATAAGCCCTACCCGGACCAAACTTGCGTGGATGATGCATCTAGGGATGGACACTACCACACTTGCTTCGGATGCTGGATCTGACCTAGATTTTCCGGATGAGTGACCAGGTTAAAGTTTTAGGAGCAGGTCCATTCCAAAGTAACTATAAGCCCTACCTGGACCAAACTTGCATGGATGATGCAACTAGGGATGGACATGGCCACACTTACTTCGGATGCTGGATCTGATGTAGATTTTTAGATGTGTACCAGGTTAAGGTTTTAGGAGCAGGTCCATTCCCAAGTAACTATAAGCCCTACCCGGACCAAACTTGCGTGGATGATGCATCTAGGGATGGACACTATCACACTTGCTTCGGATGCTGGATCTGACCTAGATTTTCCGGATGAGTGACCAGGTTAAAGTTTTAGGAGCAGGTCCATTCCAAAGTAACTATAAGCCCTACCTGGACCAAACTTTCATGGATGATGCATCTAGGGATGTACACTAACCAACCTGCTTCGAATGCTGGATCTGACCTAGATTTTCCACATGAGTGAATTTTAGCCATATTTTAACCAAATTAGCATGGATGATGTATCTAGGGATGGATACTTCCAGACTTGCCTTGGATTCTGAATCTGACGTACATTTTCCAGATGAGTGACCAGGGTAATTTTTTGGAGTAGCTATATAATATTATGGCCTGTTATGATTAAACTTGCATAGATGGTGCATCTTAGGATGAAAACTTCCAGATTTGCTTTGGATGTTGGAACTGACCAAAATTTTCTTGATTATTAAACAGGTCAAAAGTTTTTTGAGCAGATCTATAATTAAATCAAACTTGCATGGATATTGATCTTGGGATGTACCCTAACTAGAAAAAAAATATGATGTGAAATTTGCCTTACATGTAGATAACATTCGTCGAGGTGAGCTTCGTAATCTTTGATTACCTATGTTTATAATTGACTGAAAATTCGTCCGCATGCATTGATATTCTTCCAGGTCCCTTGGAAGCGAAAGCAGTTTTGGTGTGGGAGTAAGGGGGGGGGGGGGGTCACTACTAAACAGAAATTTCTTGACAAACAAATCTTTAAAAAAAGATATTTCTGAGAGGACACGGTCGTAAATTTGAAATTTTTCTATTGTACTTTTCATATTGGCAAAATTATTGGGGATACATTCCCATACCTGGTTCTTAGAGAACTGCCTTTTCATGATATCAGTAGTTGTCGAGCAGGCGCGTAGCTGCCTATACGCAAATACGCAAGTGCGTACACATCATTTTCCAAAAAAGGGGGGGGGGAAGATAAGGAAAAAAAAAAAGAAGAGAGAATTATTCGGAGAAAAAAATTTCAGTACCATCCAACAAATATTCGTGTTTCAATTTATTCTGTGTCATACTGTGTCCATTTAAATTTTCAATTATCGTGGCTGTATGATAAAATTTGAAATCTTTTATTTAATAACTGCCAAATCCAAATAAATCATTCATTATTTTGTCATTGTTCTATCATACATTGATATTTTTTTTTAAGATCTTTGAAAAATTAAATTTCAGCCACATCGTTGAATGCTATGATCTACTAGTATGATTTACAATACGATATTTTTTTTGTTCATAATTAAAATTTTGTATACGTGTTTTTATACATTAAGAATGATTATATGATACCAATTAATATATCGGTTAAATTTTTAGTCTCAATTATATGTACAATAAGTTTCCATGGAATATTGATTTTCGTTAAAACAATAAATATTACTCTGTCTTTTATTTCCTAAACAAAAACTAAATGGCATAATTTTCATATTGAAAGAAAATGAATGAAATATTTGGTAAAACTCCGGAGCTTCTTGGCCCTCACCAGCAGGCACGTAGTGTCAGGGGAGCCTCCCCCTACTTATTCCCAAAACCTAACCTTTTACTATTGAAAATGTACATTGAAAGGGTGGACCCCCACTGTTTGTTGCACCATTGTTAAATCATGGTAATTTGGTAATGTATTAATAAAAATTTGGTTTATGAAAGATGGACACCCCCCCACCCCCCCCAACAAACACACACAAGAAATAGGACTTCGAATTTTGACAATCTTCCTTTTTCGTCCTTGCTTGACAAAATTGTTAAAGTTGTAATTTTTTCCTGGCTGGCAAAAACTATATTACGTGTCTGACCAGAGCCCTAAAACACTGGGGGGGGGGGGGGGGGGGCTCAAGACCCCCAACCCCCTGCCGTTCTCTGCGTACACATCAATTCTATTCTGGCTACGCGCCTGTCGAGATTTCAACCGTGGAAACTTAGACACACACGCACCTGTTCCACGGGGAGGTATAAGTATATACATGTGTATAAGTAGATACCTTTGTTTAATTTTTACAGATCGGCAATGGCGACTCGGAACTTAAGCGGCGGTTCCAGAAGATGGATGACCAGATCGGGAAGGGATCTTTTGGGCGCGTCTATAAAGGCTTGGATCTGGACACCCAGGAGATTGTAGCAATAAAAATCATCGACTTAGAGGAGGCGGAGGACGAAATCGACGACATCCAGCAGGAGATGAGGATTCTGGGGCAGTGTGACTCCCCCTACGTCACCAAATATTATGGGTCATTTGTACAGGTAAAACTGACCTCTAGATATGTTCTAGTATCCGGGGGGGGGGGCAGTGTGACTCCCCCTACGTCACCAAATATTATGGGTCATTTGTAAGGTAAAAACTTACCTCTAAGTATGTTCTAGTATCCCGGGGGCAGTGTTACCCCCCTACGTCACTAAATATTATGGGTCATTTGTACAGGTAAAAATTGACCTCTAAGTATGTTCTAGTATCCTGGGGGCAGTGTTACTCCCCTACGTCACCAAATATTATGGGACATTCGTACAGGTAAAAACTGACCTCTAGATATGTTTTAGTATCCTGGAATAGTGCGACTTATCCCCCTACGTCACCAAATACTATGGGTCATTCGTACAGGTAAAAACTGACCTCTGGATATGTTTTAGTATCCCGGGGACAATGTGACTCCCCCTACGTCACCAAATACTATATGGGTCATATGTACGGGTAAAAACTGACCTCTAGATATGTTTTAGTATCCTGGAATAGTTTGACTTATCCCCCTACGTCAACAAATACTATGGGTCATTTGTACAGGTAAAAACTGACCTCTTGATATGTTTTAGTATCCTGGAATAGTTTGACTTATCCCCCTACGTCACCAAATATTATGGGTCATTTGTACAGGTAAAACTGACCTCTAGATATGTTCTAGTATCGGGGGGGGGGGGGGCAGTGTGACTCCCCCTACGTCACCAAATATTATGGGTCATTTGTAAGGTAAAAACTTACCTCTAAGTATGTTCTAGTATCCCGTGGGCAGTGTTACCCCCCTACGTCACTAAATATTATGGGTCATTTGTACAGGTAAAAATTGACCTCTAAGTATGTTCTAGTATCCCGGGGGCAGTGTTACTCCCCTACGTCACCAAATATCATGGGACATTCGTACAGGTAAAAACTGACCTCTAGATATGTTTTAGTATCCTGGAATAGTGCGACTTATCCCCCTACGTCACCAAATACTATGGGTCATTCGTACAGGTAAAAACTGACCTCTGGATATGTTTTAGTATCCCGGGGGCAATGTGACTCCCCCTACGTCACCAAATACTATATGGGTCATATGTACGGGTAAAAACTGACCTCTAGATATGTTTTAGTATCCTGGAATAGTTTGACTTATCCCCCTACGTCAACAAATACTATGGGTCATTTGTACAGGTAAAAACTGACCACTGGATATGTTTTAGTAACCCTGGAAGAGTTTGACTTATCCCCCTTCGTCACAAAATACTATGGGTCATTCGTACAGGTAAATACTGACCTCTAGACTTGTTCTAGTAAAAACAAATCTCTTTAGATGGAAACGGATCTCATTTGGTTAAAGCAGACCTCTTTTCTGGTTTGGACGGTTAACTGTTCTGGTTCAACGCACCACTATTTTAGTTGTAAGATTTTTTTTGTTTCTGAAAAAAGGAATTTGAGGTCGCATACGATTCAATTCTGTGGAGATATTTTAATCAAAGAAAACAATGTAAAAAGTCAGATCTGAGGTTAATCTTAAATTGAAGACTGGTTTGTGTGTTTATTAATTAGAATTTACTGTCCTGAAACTGAATTTTACCTTTTAACTCGACTACGCCGAGAATAAAGCAAATTACCAAAGTATTCAAAAGTAAAACTTGAATATTAAAAGGTCCAGTAGAAAAGTGCCCATTGATCAAATGTCCCATAGTAAATTATTCAGTGGCAAAGTATCCAAAAGTTAAGAGTCCAATGGTTAAGTATCCAATGGTAAAGAGTGCAGTGGTAAAGTATCCAATGGTAAAGAGTCCGGTGGTAAAGTATCCAATGGTAAAGAGTCCGGTGGTAAAGTATCAAATGGTAAAGAGTGCAGTGGTAAAGTATCAAATGGTAAAGAGTCCGGTGGTAAAGTATCCAATGGTAAAGAGTTCAGTGGTAAAGTATCCAATGGTAAAGAGTCTAATGGTGAAGTATCCAATGGTAAAGAGTCCAGTGGTAAAGTATCCAATGGTAAAGAGTCCGGTGGTAAAGTATCCAAAGGTAAAGAGTTGGGTGGTAAAGTACCCGATGGTAAAGAGTCCAATGGTGAAGTATCCAGAGGTAAAATACTCAGTGATAAAGCATCAAATAATTAAGTATCCAATGGTAAAGTACTCAAGGAAAAGAGTCAAATACATGTAGTTAAGTATCCAATGTTAATGTGTCTAATGCAGTGTAACGGTAATGTTTCAATTGATAAAGCCTTCAAAAGTAGAATGCCCAAAGGCCAATGATGAAGTAACCAATGGTGAAGTATAAATGGTGAATATATGGTATGGAATCCAATGGTTGAGTAACTAATGGTAAGGTGTCCAGTTGGTATAAGTAACCAATAATAAATAATTCAGTGTTAAGTGTCTTATACTAAAGTACCAAGTTAAGGACCCTATGACAAAGTATCCACTGGTAAAATGTTTGTCACACCCGTCTTGCTGGTATGTTTTTCAGGAAGCAGCCTTGTTTGATTTCATACAAACTTTCTAGAAATACAACATCAACTGTACAGTCTTTTATACAAAAAAAATGTTTCAAAATTAAAATGGTTAATTTTTTAAAATTAGAAATGAGATCCAGGATATTAGTATTTTTTTGAAAGCATAATTATGTGTTTATCTTTTTTAAGTTTAGAACATTAAAGTTTCTTAATTAGAGGCCTATGGTTATGTTCCTATTATTAACAGAAGAATGAGATTTTTGTCGCAATCCAAAGATATCTTCTATACTGCGTGTAGAGTAACTTTACGTTTATTTTTGAACTATGAGGACTTTGTTTCGATAAACAAGAAAAGTGTGTTCGATGGAGCTTTTTTCCTAATTGTTTAGAATAAATGTGAATTCTTTTCTTTTTCTTCTATAGTTATGAATTGCAAATATGGCTTGAAGTGTAGTTTTTCTCATCAAAGTAACAACATGTACATGTACCAATTTTTTTTTCAGGGATTTAAGTTGTGGATCATCATGGAATATTTAGGGGGAGGTTCTGCCCAGGATATTATTAAAATGGCACCGTTTTCTGAGCGGGACATTGCAGTAATACTGAGAGAAATATTAAAGGGAATGGATTATCTTCACAGCGAGCGAAAAGTTCATCGAGACATAAAAGGTAAATCGCAGAACATAGAGAACAGAGCGTCGTCGAAACCCACGAGTTTTCTTTCTGTTACAATTCATTAATTTTAACACACATTGAAAATAGTGTACCTGAGAGAATATACATGGGTTCTGAGGATGAGGTTGAAGTGAACGGATGAACCAACCAAACCAACATCAAACATATGGCATGGGGTTTTGTAAAAACTATAATAAATTCCTGACCAGGCAATATTTTAGTGTATTTAGGACCATTGCCATCGAAGATCAAAATGATTTTAAACGATTTTCTAGAAAATAAAATGTATATCATCAATTAACAAGGTTTCCTGTTAGATATAACTAATAAATCAACAAAGTTCCATATTGGTATAATAGATAATGAATTATCAAGATTTCATACATATGCAATGATTTTTCAAGGTTTCCGTATAGATGAAGCTCATGATTTCGCATTTTCTTTGTAAAAAGCCAGTATATTTTTGCATGCCTTCCTCCCTGCAGAAAGCCAAAGATTTAACATTTTCCCTGTACAAATAGTTTAGCAATTCCTGTAAAAAAAAAAGCTAAGATTAAGGATTTACCCTATTGAAAGCCAATGATTTAGCGTTATCCCTGTACATGTAGAAAGCCAATAAGTAAGCGATAAGTTCTGTAAAAAAAATATTTAGTATTTGCCTTGTAGAAACGAATGATATAGCGATAAGTCCTCTAACACAAACAAATGATTTAGCGTTTGTCTTTGTAGAAATCCAATGATCTATTGATGTCCTGTAAAAAGAAAATCCATTGATTTAGCATCCCCCCCCCCCCCCTGTATATAAAAAGCCAAAAGATTTAACGTGTATCTCGTAGAAAGCCAGTGTTTTCCCACTGCAAAGCCAATGCTAAAATAGCGTTTTTCCGACTACAAAGCCTAAGATTTAGCATTTTCCCTACTAGAAGGCCAGATCGGTAAATTAGCTTTTTTCTCTGTAGAAAGCCTATACTTTAGCGTTTTTCCTTGTAGAAGACCAATGGTTTAGCATATTTCTGTAAAAAGACAATGTTTTAGCGTTCTTTGTATAAAATTATTGGCTAAGTGTTTGTCCGTTGGGAAAGGCAATGTTTTAGGGTTTTCCCTGTTGAAAGCCTATATTTTAGCTTTTTTCTCTGCCCCCCCCCCCCAAAGATTCAACTATGTTCCGTATAAAAAGCTTAGTATTTGCGTTTCCAAGAAATTGCCAATGCTTTGCGCCTTTTTTGGTAAGAAAACAATGTTTTAGGTTTTCTGTGTAGAAAGCTTAAGTGTTTTAACTATTTTTCCCCGTAGAAGATGAGTTAACTAAAATCTTGAGAAGTACTATGTTTTAACGTTTTACCCTGTAGAAAGCAAATGATTTTGCGATTTTCTTCGTAGAAAGTCAATGATTTAGCGTTTTTCATACTAGAAATCTACGTTTTCCCTTATTAAATGCGTTGTTTTAGTGTTTTACCCCTTAAACAAGCCACTTCTTAGCGTTGGTCCTTGAAAAAAGTCCATGCTTTATCGAGGGACCCCGAGAAAACCAATACGCAGCACTGTTAAGGCGTACTTCAAAGAAATCAACAGAATATAAACGTGCATAAATACATACCTTTTTAAACTGAATTTATTTTTGTAAAAGTACTATATTATTTTATGACTTTAACATTCTTTGAAATAACATTGTATACCCCGCTCTGTACTGAATTTGGTTTGGTCACGTTATTTGATAGTCACGTGATAAATGCATGTAATATGTACTGTATGTAGGTCACAAAGAAATTTCAATATCGCAAGGGCATACCCTAGTTAAAATTAAAAATTAAAGAAATAGATTTTTTCTATATAACTTGTAGTTTATGGAAAGTGCTGCTGCTTTAAATAGAATTCGCATTTTATTAGTTTAAATTTCAAGTTATCTGGCTAATGTCGAATTATGTGTGACCTTTACAATACAACGTATTTTATGTATTTATTAAATTATGCTATCGATTTCAGGAAAGCAGCAGCACTTTTCAAGTTAAGGAATATGTCCGTTATGTGTATTCAAAAACTGGTCAAGATCTATTAAGTGTATGCCCTTTACCATGATGACGTCATGTCGACAAGTGCAATGCGATCAGTGACTTGTTTATATCTTGCTGTGTGGGATTTAACTAGCGACAAAAATGAATGCAGTGGTTAGTTTTGATGTAGTTCATTACTCTTATGCAGTTTAGAATCGCAATTTATTTTATTTTCTGTTATTGTGAGGAATTGCTATATTTGTGTGATGTCACGGTAAACTTTTCCCGTATAAATTAGGCCCCGCCCCCTTTATGCAGCCTTAACAGAGCTGCGTATTTAAGCGAGCTTTCCTATAGATAATCATTTTAGCAAGGAACTGTAGCTATAGAGAAATCCAATGAACTGCCTTGTATATTTTTAGCTGCCAACATCTTGCTGTCCCATAGGGGTGACGTCAAACTAGCTGACTTTGGGGTGGCGGGTCAGCTGTCAACAATAGGGAAGGCGGAGACATTCGTAGGCACGCCCTACTGGATGGCTCCCGAAATAATCCGAGGACAAAAATACGACACAAAGGTACACCAAATATATCTGAGCTATATTTCATGAAATACATGTATCAGTAGTATTAATACAATTTTATCGTAAATTCATGAATAATTAAAAGTCATCCTTTATTTCCAGGCAGATATTTGGAGTCTCGGTATAACTGCTATAGAATTAGCCAACGGGGAACCGCCTTACGCCGATGTCGACCCGCGAAAAATTATATTTCAAATTCCAAAGAAAGACCCCCCTCAACTGACGGGCAACTTTACCCAAGGGTTCAAAGACTTCGTTAAGGACTGTTTAAACAAGGACCCAAAGGATGTAAGTGCAGAACTAGAGAATGAAATACCAATCCTGAAATACTGTTTAAGGAAAGTACTACGAAGAAAGTAATACCACTGCAAAGCAAACATCTCAATATTAAAGATTTATATTGACGGAAATATCAAGAATCTCTATAATTATACTATGTTGTAATAAATTCTTTCAATAATTATCAAGTGAGATCTATTCTTCTTGGCGGTTATGTTTTATAATGTGTGATGGTTGTAAAAAGGTGGCATGTTTTTAAACATGTAAATCTTCCTCCCAAATGCAATCATTATATAATATGTTCTAGAAAATTCTTTTTTTGATTTGGACCGCAAGTTTTCAGATTTTTGTTGCCTTATATTTACAGAGGCCCACGGCACGTGACCTCCTGACCTATGGTTTTGTGAGGCGCGCCCGGAAGACAAACAGCCTGCAAGATGTAGTAGATCGCTTTGCGGAATGGAAGCTCCACCGACCGCCGTCAGACAACGATTCCGATGACGAGGACACAAGGTCATCTCCCTTATCTCAGATTTTGCCCCTTTCGGTTCACTACTCTTTTGTGAATTTCCAATTTTTGTCAGAAATATTGTCATATATTAAGAATCAAGTCCGGTTGGGTGAGCAATACATGTTGGTCACTCCCCCTTAAGGTACCTAGTCCTTCTGATAAGAGAGATAAATTTCACGGGATAAATGACTATTAATCCTTTACAAGACTATAAAATTTAAAATAAAACAATGTCAGTCAAATTACAGCCCGCAAAGTGTGCTGAAAGTATGTGCATTTTAAGTATAAATTTAAATTCTTTTGGAAAATCATAAGCGATAAGGAAACATTTTATATGAGTGAACCTTAATGGTTTTTATTAACTTTTGTCATGTAAACTTATCGCATTTGACGCAAAATTTGGTATGAATTAAAGGGTTTAGTAAGACAAAATATTCGTAAAAATAATAAGACTTTATTAATAAAAGGCTTATGGACCACAATGCTCACCTGATATCAAAATATGTAGATTTTAACTTCAAATATTTTTCACATTATGACTGTGTAACAGAGGTTTTATTATATCGTTTCAGTGAGAGATTAGACGAGACAGATATTTCACATTATGACTGTGTAACAGGAATTTTACTTGTATCGTTTCAGTGAGAGATTAGACGATACAGATAACAGAGGTTTTATTTTATCGTTTCAGTGAGAGATTAGATGATACAGACGCCGTGGATTACTGGAACAACACGGTGAAAAACCTCGAGGAATTTGTACAGGAACACCCGGTGAGGCTGAACATAAGAGAGAGAGAGAGAGAGAGAGAGAGAGAAATGAAAATTCACATTAATTTGTTTGTACAGAGTGCTTACTGGCAATCAAAGTAAAAAGACACATTCTAGAATGGAATATCCTTTTTGTTGTTTAAAATAATACTGAAATTAAGGTTCATCGATACTCTGATAAGAGAGATAACTCTTAATGACATAATTCTCTATTATTTCTTTACGTATTTGTCAAGTTGAAATGTCTTTTTTGTCCAGTTTTGCCTCGCAAACTATGCTATAATTGTTTGTATTTTACTTAAAAAATACATTTCGTTTGGAAAGTCATAAGAGTTAAAGCGCTATTTTATATGAGTGAGCAGAGGATTTATGAACCTTAATGAAGTGGTAAATATAAAGTATTAGATTCTTTCAAAATGTGAACAAAATATTTTTATGTATCTGTAGTATGACACTGTTCGTGAAGACCAATTTGAAACGTTAAGAATAAAAAATCCAGCAGAGGACGCTAGTGTTGTTTTACCCAGCATGCAACAGGAAAATTCACGCGTCAAAATTCCTGCAGAGGAAAGGTTGTCAGGGAACTATGAAGAATATAACTATGCCGTCGTTAATAAGACTTCAAACCCGACTAAAAATAAGATCTCAGAGAAAACTAATACAAACAAGGAAACAGAAAACAGTGTATTAAATGGCACAGACACAGAAATCAGGAGTACCCCTAAGAAATATGAGGAAGACATTGATAGTGATCCGGACTATGAAAACGTTGAAGACATAATGTACACTGATCGAGATATCACCGACGGACTACAATCATCCAATAATCATATCTTCCCTCAATCATCTAGTACTCTCTCAATAACTGTGATACCATTACTAACGAGAGTAAGTTATTTTCATTTTTCCAAATAATGCAAAATTAACTTAAGATTAATAAAATTTGCAGTCGAAATATGGCTGAAATACTGCAATATACAATCAATGAATGAAATATATTTAAAAAACAGCAAATCAATTTTATTACAGCTTAAGCTTCTCTATAAAGAAGATTACGAAGAACGAGGCCAATCAGCGGAGCCGACACAGATTGTGGAAGAGTTGTTAAATGCATTTCAATTGGCGGAGACGTCATGTCCGGGATTGACAGATGAGTTTGTTAGTGGTATAGTGGAAATTCTTACAAAGCCAACGCAGGGGGCGCTGGAGATTAAGCGGGCTTTGGAGAAAGTCAGAAGGTAGCTGCTGGCTGACTGTAAACATTAGAATGCGCATGCGTGAATCCAGGTGGGACAGTTGTGTTGACTGGATTTACCATCAATTGTTGGGAAATTTAAAATACATGTATATTTAAAAAAAAATGTTTAAAATATAACAGATTCTAGATTTTCTTCTGAATCAGCAACAGTATATATATATATATATATATATATATATATATATATATATATATATATATATATATATATATATATATATATATATATTTACAAATTTTAAAATAACTTAAAATTTAAAGAATTTTTAAGATTTTAAAATATTCTTTTCAAATTATTGGAATTTGAAAATTTGGAATGGTTGATTTAATCACTTATGAATAAATAAATCTGAAAAAGTGAAAATGATTACAAACCAACTTAAAAGTTATTTAGTAAAATTTTCTTTCTTCTTGCAGTCCTTCGTAGCCATCCGACCAACTCCGTTAATAAAATGAGTTTTGTTGGACATTTTTAAGAGGAATGAAAAGAAAAACATCTTTATTTTTCCATTGTTATGGCAATTTTGCTTAAATAAGATTGACGTTATAACTTTGTTTCTTGTTGTGTTCTGTTTAAAAGTGTTTATTAAAGAGAATTTTTGCTACCATGCATGTTTTCATTTGCTAGGCTAACCCCTTTGAGGGTTAGATACATGTTTCTTTGAATAAAGGAGTTTTTCAGATCCATATATCAAAATTTAAAGGTAAGCTTTGTGACATTCATATTTGTTATAACTTCAGACATGGTATATACCTTTATATTTTGGAGTTGTATACCCTATAGGAATTTACACGGCCACTCTTAGCGACAAAGCTAAGTTCCAATTTGTACCTTTCAAAAACATGAGTAAAATCTCTGTATTAACTCCTGAATAAAGGCAAAAGTTTAACTAAAATTTAAGACACCATCTCACAAATGTAACCCCACATTAAGTACTACTCCTTTCTCTAGACAACGAAAATACTGGATCTAGAAACTGCATGGCAACTGTATTTCCATTTGGTTGCATTGACTACATCAATAATATTGGGAATTTTTCAAGCCAAATTTGAATAAATTTGAAATCACAAAATTTTACCAAAATCAATAACATTGATATATCAAAACGTACGACTTCTCAACACTTCATACCATTCCCCACAATAAACTTAAGTCAAGGCTGTTTTTTCAATAAAAATGGACCTTGTAAATTTACTTACTTTGTCATTGGTCATTTTGCAAAACTTTGTTAAAACATTTCTAATTGTACGCACAAGTACTCCTAAGTTGATATTAAAAAATGAAATGCTTGAATTTCTGATTGACAATGTCTATGTATAGTTTTTGGAGATCAAGTCTTCCAACAATCTGTACATGTCGGAATTCCCAAAGGTACTAATTAGAAGACCTTTTTTGTATTCATATAAAGCAAAATTTATTCAAAAACTTGGACATGAAAAAAGTCTCTGCCTTCAATTCAATTCAACATTTTGATATATCGATGACGTTTTATTAATTAGCAATATTCATTTTCATTCCTACGTTGATTCGATATATCCCTTTGAACTCGAAATAAAAATACCATAGAGTCTGACATATCTGTTTCATGTTTGGATATTTTACTAGAAAAAGACGTTAATGGTAACCTAACAAAAAACTTTATGATAATCCTGATGAATTCAACTTTTCTATTTTCAACTTCCCTTATTTATGTAGCAATATATATATATATATATATCAATATCACCTATATATGGAGTTTATATCTCCCAGTTGATTCGATACGCAAGAGCATGCTCTACGAAAAATGTTTTAATCGAGCTAAGCTATTGACAAACAAGTTGATGAATAAGAATATCGAGAGTCTGTTTTAAAGTCAACATTTCGCAAATTCTATGGTCGATACAATGACCTTGTCAGCAAATACAATCTATCGTTAAGTAGAATGTTGACTGAGGTTTTTCATACAAATTGTTAAGCCATAAATTTCACATTGAATTGTCTACGGATTTTTCCGTTTTCCCGACAACTCTTACGTTATGTTCCCTTATTTATGAAGCTAATATACCATTATCACCTGCAGATGGGGTTGCCCGATCATGACAAGGAGCACACAGCGGATGTGACCGTTCGACAGGAGATGCTTACTCCTTCATGGCTTCTGATCCCACCTCTAATTTTTTTTTAGATGTCCGTGTTTGCTCTGCTTCAAATTTGTATTGTTTCAATGGACTTTTATGCGTGATTACTATTCCTTATTTTCATATTTCATGAATTCTTTCAAGGAGTATACTATCAGATGATCGACTTAATTTGAAGGGGCAGACTTTTACAATTAAAAGAAAAAAAATGCATACCATTTGTTCTCCCGTTTTCAGTAGACAAGAGGTGGTAAAGGATTAGGGCTATATGAACAATGTGACTCTTATGGTTACAGCCGACGAAGCCAACAATATAATCTTTCTTTGAAAGGCTATTTTTTTGCAACTGTATTTTTGAAGAACTTGGCTTTAATTTCAATATACACACAGTTATTCTTCAAAATCACATTTCAGTTTGTAATACTTTTAATATTCCATCCACCTAAAATATTGATTTCTCGTACCTAAACTGGATTAATATGTTTTCCAAAACTTTACATAAGTCCTTACAAACATACATTGCAGAGTCCAGTAGATGTTCTACCAAGCCCCAATCTTTACTCCTAACAAAATATCAATTGCTGTGAAGGGGAAACTTAAGGGGTACTGTTCTACAATATATTCAAGAAATGGTGAAAATAAAAAATAAATTCTCAAAAAATCCTAAGAACTTTAAAAAATTTGAAAATGTCTTAAATCAAAAAATATATATATATAAAACACGTACTGTGAAATCATTCATTTTTATAGAGGTAATTTTCGTTGTTTTCGAGGTATGAAGAGACCCACGAATTTATGTCCACCACGAAATGTAAAATTTTATATACAAAACTACTCAACAATTCTCCACCCACAAAATCAAATCCCCACAAACCAATATTTTTACCTTAAACCTCGGAAATTTGACCCCACGAAAATATGTGATTTTACAGTATTGTATTGAACATTCCTCGTGATAGTTTAAGGAAAAGACCTTTTGACATCATAGACATCTGCCTCTTTAATTAATAAAAATGGAACTCGGAAATTTTAATAGCTTCAATATGTCATCAACAAATCACTTTGTGTTAATAGCAAACTAACAAAATAAACTGCACGACTTTAGCTTTTCCATCGTCAACTATCCCTATTTACATGTAAGTAGTACTTCTAGTATTTCACTATCACATACACTTTATGTTTATGTCTCCAAACTGATTAGTTACGCGAAAATGTGTTCTGATTACGATTAATTAATACGATTTAACCAAGTACCCATATTTGACCACCGACATGTGGCCTGTGACTTAATTCTGCCCTTACGCATTCGTCAGAATTTAATTCGAATTAGCTTCGCTTAGTGTTCACACGGAGCTAATGCGAAGTAATCTAATCCGCAGTAAACTAATTCAAATTAAACTAATTCCGCATTAAATTCTCCGTGTGAACGCGGATCAAATTTAATTCGCAGTAACTTACGTTTAATTCGAATTAAACTCTCCGTGTGAACAGGGCGTAAGATAGATACCTATCTGCAATTGTGTGTGCTTATCAATAATTTCGTTGAATCTTTCTTTAGTTTCTTGCGTTTTGTGAATGTAAGGAGTTGATAAAAGCTTGTGCATCAAATTACACTGTTAATTTTTTCAATGTTATTCATCATAGGCATTTAAACTATCATCCATATGATCCTAATTTCTACCACTGCTTGTTTTAATTTTACCCTATTTGAGATATTTGTTTTAATTATAGTGCTTCACTAGTGCGAGATTTATTTCTGTGTCTCTCTTGTTTTTGTAATAAATTACCCACCAGTATACTGGGCTTTGTATACCATGTACCAATTATCTTTTGTTATTTTAAGATTGCTCAATTGCAAGGAACAAACTATAGCTGTGAATATGTTTTGACGCCTCGATAATTATTTAAACAATTCACTTACATTTTAAACTGTTTAAGGACATTTTGATAGCCGGAGCAAACAATAAATAATAAGCATATGTAACTGTTTAACAATTTCACAAGCACTTACCTGTGGATAGTGTGATATTACACCCCCCCCCCCCCATTTATTTCATAATAAGCTTTAAAAAAATATCGGCTGGCAATTTTTCAATGCTTAGTAAAATGGAAACTGTACAGATTTATGAATTTGATAGACGGGGAAATCATACATTTTGGAGAATTAGGTTTCTAAATTTATTTCATCCACGTTGCATTAATTTTGATGTTACTTTTGAAATAGATTTAAGTAAAGGGGTTTTTGAGTTATAAATACGTCATGTACCAGTGAAATTTGAAATAAAATTTTATTTTCAGAAAATGTTCCGAATATTGCAATCTAATAATCGACTAAGGAAAATAAATATTTTGACATTCCTACTTTTAAATGATCTTCTTGGTCATCCTCCTAACACCCATTTATTAATAACTAAATTAAAAAAGATGAACAATTTTAAAACAAAATATTGTACAAATGGAATATTCGAACCCCCCTTCTAGATTTGCAGGCCAGCCCTTCAGACGACACTGTAAAAACCGAGATTCTTTATTGCAGAAGATGCTGGCATGAAAAAGGTCACTCACCACTCAATGGCCACAGACACCATATACAGGTCTAAATTTGCTGCCTTCAACTGGCAGTTGATTGCATTCCAACATAAGTGACAAATTTCTCGAAGGGACTTTAAGCAAACTAACAAATAATCTTCTCAGGACCTAATTAGCGTATACTAATCATATAAAAATACTAGCTATCAAGCTGAACTAACCAATTAATATTTGTAACGATTTCAAAACCCATTTGGAATTAGAGGATAAAAAGAATACTAAATGGAGACTATTACGCAAGAAACTATATCAAAAAAAAAAAGAAAAAAAAAAGAAAAAAAAAAGAAGAAAGGACCTTCTAAAAAGCAAAGAAAAAAAAATAAAAATGCTGTACCCAACGCAGTATGAAGTATGTTTTAAAAGATTATTCACAACCACTTCTATACATGTAGTTGCATATATGTAACAAAAAAGTATAGGTGAACTGATTATTACATTATTTATTAGATCAAAACTCTAATCAAATGAAAAGAAATAAGATTGATTTTTGTATCACAAAGTCTGTACAAAAATGTCTAAATACACTTGGCATTAAAAAAATCAATCGGCATGTTTCAATTGGGTCGGTCACAGTAGGGGAAACATAGAACTATTTTTACTTTGGGAGTTTGGCTTCATCATTTTATTTTGTTTATTTGTGCTATTGTTTTTATTGTCCGCATTGACCATGAAACCTGATCGGTAAAACCTGCTTATTTTAATTTTTTAATTGCTTTTAAACGTCTCCTAAAATTAAGTTATCGTTATGCACAACTTCTGTTTTAGACATCAGACAAACGGTATAGACTTAACTCTAGTGAATAAATCAGTCGACGTTTTATTAAAATACACAACTTTTATATTCACAAAAACTCTTGAAAAATGCATTCAATTTTTTTCAGTAAAATTTATTTATA